CGTAATCGCATCCATTAGTACATGAATTAAGAAAAAAGAGTTTTGATGTACAAGAAACTACTTAATTAATCAAGATTCAAGAGAACGTTAAGATGATAATTACACATTAAATTTTCTTGATTTGCCACTCAATAATGACATTTGATACTGCCCACACTAAAAAGAAAGTGTGAATATTAAGTTCACTGGGTTTCAAATTAAACCCCACCATATGTTAAAAACACAACAAAAATATTGATTTTTTGGTGGCCTAATTGGACTTTAACTTTCATAGTTTTGAGAAGTGAGCATTAATAACAACCATAACAAACAACTTGTGGAGAATGATTATTTTCAACCAACACAAAAATACATCATATGTAAAGGGATTAAGTTTTAAGCATTGATAATAGAGGAAAAATTAAATATAATTCGGTTACTAATTATAAATTATAAGGTAATTACAGATAAATCTCCATAATACGTTAATTTGATAAAATAATAATTGATCTGTTATTATATCTTAAATTTCACTAATAGTGAAAGAATAACAATATGAGGTATAACTTTTCTTTAATAATTGGAAGTGGTGTAAAATATGTGAAATATTAATAGAAAATATAATATTTCAATTTTATTATTCTTGAACGATGTAGATCGAACAACTAACTCTTAACATTTGTAGGGTAGTTTGTATCCTTTATTGAATTTTACTTTCAATTATTGTCATAGTTATACTTTAAAGAAATTATCTTTAAAAAAAGATATATGCATTCATAGTCTAAAGTCGTAAAGGAAAATTTGGATTCATATTATGCATATGTTTGGTAATAACTGTGCCTGCCTTATTCTTATCTTGACACTCAATTTGAAAAGAAGGGTGTGTTTGGTATAGGGAAAAATATTTTTCGAAAAATATTGGTAAATTTTTTTTTCAGAAATATCATTCTGGAAAACAAGTTTCTTATAAATGAGAAAAATAAATTTTTTCGTACAAGTAGAAAAAATAAGTTTCATGAATTGTATTTCATGTTAATTGTGTTCTCCCCATTCTCCAATATGTGCACCTCATCTTTACCCCATCCTAATAGACCTCGTTACCAACAATCCATACCCCTGCCACATGGAAATGCTTTTTAATAGAACTTTAGTCTTGGTTGATCGTAATCAAGAAATCACTAATTTCATTTGGTGGATTGAAATTGTTTGACTTATCAATTTATCTGGTAAACTACTACTATATTCTCATCTCCAATTTATTTTTATATAAATTATATAAATATTTTTAAAATAATATTTTTTTATATATCAAACATTAAAAATATAAATAAACAGAAAAACTCACATATTCTTCTTAAAATAATATTCATAAAAAATATTTCTCTTCGCATCGAACGCGCCTAAGCTTCAAATTCTTAAAGGCAAAACTAGATAGTTATGTATCATCACTCTTTTTAAGGTCACTATATATGTGAGTTGTCACATTATGAGAGGAGCAATCAAAAATATAATAATGTGATAAACTAATAATACAGAAGATTTCATCATTACATTTTTTTAAATCCTTTTTCTATCAACAAACCCTTTTACCCTTTTCATATAAAAAATTAAATCAATTTCTAAATAAGCTCTTTTTTCAAAACAAGACAAAAGAAATGATTAAATTTCCTTTTTAATTTCCGTATAAGTTTTTTTCCCTCAATAAACAAACTCATACCATAAACTGCCGAATTACATTCAGTCTAATAATATCGATGAAAGTCATCCACACAATAGTGTAAATTCACTTCTCAAAATCCCTCCCTTCCCGTTGCCAAATTGGGAAAAAAATTCACAAAATTGACAAGTATTACTTTACTTTATTTGTACATAGTAAGATAACGTAATGCAAATAGGTAGCAAATAATTCAATTTATTAGTAATTCTTCCGTTTCAATTTATTTATCACATTTTACCTTGACACTGAACTTAAGAAGACGACTTTTGAATCTGATATTTTTCAGATATACCAAAAAAAAATTAACCTTGCAGTCTTGAGCATATCAATGGAAAATTAAAATCAAAGAATTGTAAAAAAAATAAAATAGATTTCATAACTTTCAATGAAAAACAACACATGGTTGATGGTTGATTAACTAACACAGTCAAAATAATATAAAAGGAATAAAAGTTTGGTGAGACAGTTAAATGTGGGGAACCTCTTTGTCTTTAACACTAAATTAAAGTTCCACTAGAATTGGAAACTTATTCATCAAAAAAGAAAAAATTTCCAAGAGCCATTAGGCATGAGTGTGACACAACACAATAAGTGGAATTTTGGACCACATAAATCAAATATTTGTTTGAACTTTCTGCTTTCTGTTTGGTGTTTTCTAACTTTATAGAATATTCCCCCATTTAATTAAAAAAAATTGAAATGATTTAAAGGTTCAATTGTGACATCCATTTTGGTATCTATTTAAAAATTCTAGAAGATACTCACGACACCTAAATGACCTAATCATATTATATCTATAATTAATTATTCATGCATGCATGAGTATAAATCAAAATAATACTATGTGATAATGGGAAACCAAGAATTTCATTAAGGATATTCAAAATTTAAGAAATATACACAAAATACAGATAATATTTGACTATTGATAAAAATGTAGTGTACTTATAGCTCTAGTAGTTTATTTTCTTTAACGATATAAATATACTATACTTTGATTATATATGTTTATACACATATCATACATGGATTATGCAAATATACATCTGTGGCTATCTTTAGTGTAAGCAACGATTATCTTTACATAAATAGCCGGCCGGAGTCATTGTTGACTTTTTTTCTAGCCAATATACATAGATTATACACATATTACACATGAGTTATGCACATTTGATCAGTTGACGAATATTCTTCTGTTTTAATTGATCATATCTTATTTACTAGCTAGTTTTGGTTTGTTGCAGATGTTGACATGGGATCCACATTACATATCAAATGTATCTGGAGAACTAGGTTTACTAGTTGGATTAATATTATGGGCAACAACATTTCCAGCAATTAGAAGAAGAATGTTTGAACTCTTCTTCTACACACATTATCTCTACATTCTATTCATGATTTTCAACCTACTCCACACTGGAATGTTCTATGCCTGCATTATGCTTCCTGGTTTCTTCCTCTTCTTGATCGATCGATACTTGAGATTCTTGCAATCCAAGCAAAAAGTTCGTTTGATTTCAGCCCGAGTTTTGACTTGTGAAACTCTTGAACTCAACTTCTCCAAAATATCAGGTAAGCTACAATTCCATCTCTCATTTTCCAGGTTACTTATCTCACTTTTTACTTGTTCTAATTTGTAGGTTTGGAGTACGCTCCTACGAGCATTATGTTCCTAAATGTGCCAAGCATATCCAAATTGCAGTGGCATCCATTCACTGTAACTTCAAACAGTAACTTAGAATCAGATACAATTAGTGTTGTCATTAAATGTGAAGGAAGTTGGACTAAGAAGCTTTACAGTGTCATGTCTTTGCCTTCCTCTGTCAATCGTCTTGATGTTTCTGTTGAAGGACCCTATGGACCTGCTTCCACTCATTTCCTAAGGTTAGATATGTTTTACAGTATCAGTGTGAAAATCTTTTACTCTGTCTGTACATAGAGCTTAAACTCTTCCGAGTCGATGTAGTTCCACTATGATATGTTGTGATGGTGTGGTCAATTTTGATGACAGGCATGATACATTGGTGTTGATCAGTGGAGGAAGTGGAATAGCTCCATTCATTTCAATCATCAGAGAGCTGATTTATATGAGCTCAACACTGAAATGCAAAACTCCCAAGATCTTATTAGTTAGTATGTTCAGGAACACTTCACAACTCTCAATGTTAGACCTTCTTCATCCTATAGCAGGCACTCCTTCAGGATGTTCTTCTAATCTTGACCTACAAATTGAGGCTTATATAACCAGAGAGACTGAACCAGCACAAGAAAAATCTGAACCCCTACGGACCATTTTGTTCAAACCTGACCACTCTGATGCACCCATAACCCCCATTTTAGGCCAGAACAACTGGCTCTGGCTTGCTGCTATAATATCGTCTTCGTTTGCTCTGTACCTTCTATTTGTGGGACTTCTTTACCAATACTATGTTTACCCTATGGATCATGGTACTAATAAGGTATTCCCAATCCACACAAGGGCTTTGTTCAACATGTTGTTTATAGCAGCTGCTATAGTAATTGCAGCAAGTGCAGCCTTCCTGTGGAACAAGAAGAAAAGTGCTAGGGAAACTAAGCAGATTCAGGACATGGCAGATTCAGTAAAATCTTTAAACTCGTTAATAGCTTATGCTGATCAAGAGCTAGAAAGTCTTCCTCAACAATCGCTCGACAAATCCATCAAGACACATTATGGCCACCGACCTGATCTCAAGAGTAATTACTACAATATCTTTGCATAATCAAAACTACTAAGTAGTACTTCGTTTCCCAACTCTCTATGCTTGGTAACTAAATGAAATTCTTTTGCAGGAATATTGCTAGAAGTTAAAGGATCAAGTGTTGGAGTACTTGCCTCTGGACCGAAGACCTTGAGGCATGACGTAGCAGCCATTTGCTCATCTGGGTTGGTTGAAAATCTGCACTTCGAGTCCATCAGCTTCACCTGGTGATTTCCAGAGCTACCTTAAAAGGACTCTATAAGAATGCAGCAGTATCTATATAGATATTATGCCCTGTAATATGTTCCAGTCTTCTGGTTGAATCAATATGTGTGTTTAAAATAGGTATTGTGGGTATGGTTGCCCAAGATAACAGTACTTTTTGTCGAATATCTTCTTAAAGTATCCTCTGCAGTCTCCCAGAACCATAGATCGAACAATCAGAAGAAGTAATATGGGGTGAAGAATTCTGAAGCATAAATATTCAGCTTTATTTGTCCACATGATGAAATGCACAAAATATTCACTTTCAGAAGATCAAAATCTTTCATCCAAGAGTCCCCCCTTTTCATTACAATCGCCCACACCCTCAATGAAATCTGGTATAAACTGTAAATAAATAAAAAAGAAGGAAAGGAGTGATGCAGTAATGCACAAAATCTTCTCTATTCTCTATTTATCGGAAGATCAGATCTTTCATACAAGAGGTGCCCCTTTTCATTACGATCACCTACACCCTTGATGACAAAGCTAAAATTTGATACAAACTATAAATCATGAAAAAGAAACAGGACCATGGAGCAATGATATGCCTATCTACAAAATAAATTCTGCAGGACACAGATAGGGTAAAAGTAGAACAGGAACCGAAATCTCATCTCGTGCCTTTTGCAGAGCCGCTCAACCCCCTTCCCAATAGAGCAATTAGACATTGATGCTGATTTCAAGTTGGTGCGGTTAAAGCTTCAAGTAGAAGATCTCACTGGGAGCTCTTTTAACCATTAATAGCAAAGCTGACCAAGGGAGCTCTTTACATCCAGAGAGCTCACGTCTCTTCTGAATTTGAAGTGGATGAAAGTTTTTCATCCAAACTTTCAAGCAAGTCATGGTATTCAGCAAATGATGGATGGGTCTGAAGATGCACATGAAAACCACGGTGAGATGCACAAATAAAGTCAACGTATCCAAGAAATAATGTATCAAATTTACCTTTAAAGTAATGCTATATGCTTTCCACAAGCGTAAATCATGCTGAAATAAATCAAACAAGACCTGAGCAAAAATAACAAAAGGAACCTCATGTGAGTTGCAACTAACAAAAGCAATTCTCAAAATAAGCAGAATTTGAGGTTCTCCCAAATGGGAACAAAGTAAAACTGATGGCAACTCAACTTACACTTTTTGTATAAAAAAAATCACTCAACTTAACCTTTTGTATCAATAAAATCACTTAACTAAATTTATCATTGAATTAATTGCAATGAATATTAACAAAATTAATAGTGATTTTTTTAATTATAGTTTCACTTGAGATAATATTAAATATTATGAAAAAAAAATACAAAATTGAAATGAAAAAAAGAAAAATAGAAGAACTATCTAATTTTTATCAATAATATTTTAAAACTTTAAATTAAACAACTCAAATCTTCTTATTAGTAAATAAAGTTTTTATAAAAATATCAAAGATGATATATTGCAAACAAATGGCTCAACTCTTATTAACTAGAATTAACCCTTACTTTTATATAATCATATTATTATATAAATTTAAACTATTAACAAAATAACTGCATGGAGACAAAAACCATAAAAAGTATATATATATATATATATAGCAGAATCATAAATAAAAATTAATACTATAATTTAATTCAAAATCATATTGAGAAATGATTAGAATAAAGGGATAGTAAGAAATTTTCAAATAAAATGTTATCTAAAACATAATACTACTGATATATATCTCTAATGTTATGTCAATAACAGTAGGTTAATTAAGAAAGTAATTTTTATCTTTTCTTTTAGTTATCTATGATGTTCCGTTAATCTAAACATCATTCATCCTAGTATATCTCTTTCTCAATAATATAAACAACATCCATCCGTTAGCCTTATTCCCATATCCAGGAGCAGAGTTATGCCTTGGCGATGGTGGTCAGATGAACAACCTTCGTTGGAAATATTTTTGGATATATACAAATTGTTGAACACTTTTGATACAATAAAGAAATATAGCCCAGCGGCTAAGGGTGTTCAAAGCTACTTCAGGTTCCGTGTTCGAGCCCAAGCTTAGGCATTTTGTTTAATTTTTTTGTCAGGCTTTTGTGGCCTGGGTTCAAGCCTAGACTTTTTGGAAAGATTAAGGTTTTTTTGTTCAATTTCTTTTTGGTTCTGTTTTTCTCTTTAAAGAGAGAACAAAAGTGACCTTTTTTAAGATAAAAAAACAAAAGGTCTTCTTTTAACTTTTTTTAGTTATTAAATAAAACCTTTTGGTTTTTTGTCTTCTCATTCTCCCAAAAGTCCTTTACAACTTTACTCTTTAGTATTTGGTGTATTGTGGGTTGATTTTTAACAAGTGTGGTACACTTTGACTGATATTTCAGTTTGGAGTTCAATGACCTTGGAGAAATATTTTTTAGAGTACCCAAAACAAGTTTGGCGCCTCAAAATCAAAATAAAAATCAATCAGCGGCATACGCATAAATTTTTGCAAGCGGTGTCACCTTATAATATATATATATATATATATAAATATAAAATTCACGTATACTATTGTATCTATTTTTCAAAAAGTAAAATAAAAAAGTATATAACTTAAATTTTCATTTTGAAAATAATTTCATCAAAAATAATAGTGTTAAATATTTTCTTTATATATAAAATAGGAAAAATTACGCAGTTAAGCAAACTTATACTACTTAATTACTCATCAAAGCTATAGTTTGTTATAATTACCACTCGCGACTAACATTATATACATTAATTACGTGGGCTGACTTCGAGTTTGTATAATTATCCACGTTTGTATATGTATAATTCGCCAGAATATACAAATACATATGTATAATATACAATTATCTAACCGATATACATATACAATTCACCTCTCTCCC